GCCTGTAGTCCCAGCTACTTGGGAGGCTGAGGCAGGAGACTCGCTTGAGCCCAGGAGTTGGAGGTTGCTGTGAGCTGTGATGTCATGGCACTCTACTCAGGGGTATAGCTTGAGGCTCCATCTCAAAAAAAAAAAAAGAATATAATTAACTTAAACTGTCATCTTACCCTGATAATTTATGTGCTTTTATAAATGCACAGTTCTTATTATTTGCATAAAGGCAATAGAAAATTGTTAATAATATTAACTTTTCTTCTGTTATTTTCAGGGCTCTGGAAACACAAGGATGAATGGAGGGTGGTGCTCAACTGAATCAAGAAGGCGCTCTTGCTATTTAAGAGATATTGGGACTTCTTCTTCCTATTTGGGACCTTTCTTTGATTTTCCTTCCATATTTATTACTGTTTAGGTTGAACTTTAGCTAAACTTTTGACTTTCATGTAAAGATATTATTTATAGAATATCAGAAGACCCATCTTTTTGATGCCAAAGTGAAAAAGTTGATGAAGGCAGTCTTATTGTATATATGTTAATATTAAAGTGATTGTAGATTTGCAAGTCTACTGCATATTTTACGTTTTATGATGAAAGGATTTCATCCTTTCTAGAGTTAAATAAGAGTTTTATAGTTCTTTGTAACTATTTAAAGGAAATTGCTACTCCTTTTAAAAAATAATTGGAATGAAAGTATGATTTGTTGGTGCATAAATGTAGTAGAAAATTTTATATGGAGATATCTTAGTCCTTAAAGTATGAAGCTTAATGAAAATGTGTAAAAATCTTTATTTTTCATTTTGTTTCAAATTTTCAATAAATGAACTAAAGAGTAAATTTTTTTCCTTTTGAAAAAAAAGATTAAGTTTTAATTTTAGAGAAGGTTTCCAATGTCATTCTGTGACATATCAAAGTAAAGCTTACCTTTGATTGAGAAAGCTGTGTTCTTGAACATAAAGGAAAGCATTTATCAAATTAGTGAAATGAATCAGATCACTAATAAACATTGTTTCATATACTCACTGGCCATTTAATTAGTAATTATATCAAAAAAGGCTTGCTCTCATATTTCTAAGTAAAAATTACTTCTCAGAATGTTTGTTAATTCTAATTGAAGTTTTCATGGCTTTTCTTTTAAGATGAAATTCAAATAAGCAGAGTATTGCCAAATAAATGCTAGAGTTACAGAAGTATATTCTGGAAATTACTATTTAATAATGAAATGAATGGTATTAAACAAATACTTTCTTTAAATTTTATAAAATTTAGATAACTAAGTATATAGTTTAATACTGTTTCCTCAACAATCTCCTTATCAAAGCACATTCATGATTTTCTGAATTGACCATAATAAATCTTGGAGGTATCCAATTTATAAAAATAGTTGCTGAAGAGCTTTGTTCATAGAAAGATTAGGAAATGGGACTTTTGAGAAGAATATAGTTGACTAAGAAATTAAAACAGAGAAGAGTTGATTCGTTGTTTCTTTGAGTTTATATAAGATATAATCTCTTTCCTAAAGTCAGAGGTGTATTAATAACCAAACAATATTCTCTGAACATGTCCCAATATGATATCATGGTGGAGAAAGACCGCCTAGTGGGTGGCAAGCTGGACTTAGTGAAACCTTTGCAAATTCAAGAGTCCCACAGTAATTTTATGTCTTTCTACATACTATGACATCCTTCTTGTGATTAGAAAGCTTTCTTTATAAATTTGTATTTTGAAAGAATTTCAAACTTAAAGAACCATTACCAGAGTAGGTCAGTGAACTCACATACTTGTGAACATGTTGCTACATTGACTTAACCACTCTCTCTATATAACAGTGTTACTTTTTGTTCAACAGTGTAAGTGCAGGTTGCAGACATCTTGGACTTTCATTTCTAAATATGTTGACATGCATCTCCTCAAAACAAAGACATAGGGTACAATCAAAGTCAAGAAACTAAAAAACAGTATTCTCTAACATACGGTACACATTAATTTTTTTCTAATTATCCCAACAATGTCCTCTGTAGTGACTTCCTACACCATACCCCCAGGCACAAGATCATGCATTGCCTTTAATTGTCATGTAAGGTTTTTTTGCCTTTGAAACATGTCAGTTCTGTTCAGAAATAGAGTGGTCTTTTGACTCTTATTTCCTTAAGCTTTGTTCAAAGAAAAAGACATTAGAAATTTCAAAGAGGCTGTGTGCTTAAAAAAAAAAAAAAAGAAAGAAAAGAAAAAGAAAAAAAAATTGACCAGGGAAGAAGAACTTTTTGTTTTTAATTTTTAAAACTTTGGGTGGGTTTTGGTGTCTTGACTCAGCAAAGTCTATAATGCAGCAGGGCTTGGTAAGCATTAAAGGGGGTACTGAAGCTTTCTTTTATTTCATAATCCCAATTGGTTTTTTCTAGAAACCATCAATAGCCTCTAAATGACTGACTCAATTTTTGGATCCTATTCTCATGACTAAGCAACTGTTTGATTTGAAACCAGCGCAGTATAAATGTCACTGTGCCTCTAACTCCCTGTAGCTATTCCTGAATTTCTTTCAGCACTGGGGAAACCAACCTATGCACCAAAAATGTCTAAAACTGGAACCAAGGTAAGTAAATAGTCATACTGATTTTTAGCCTACCCACTTTTCACTTAATGATAGATCGAAAGGAACACAGAGAAAAGTTTTGCCTTCTTTGCCTGAAGGTGAGTATCGTAGTGGTTAGATCTGGGATTTAGTGAGAAGATTCAGAAATGTTTGTTAATATTTTCCAAACACTTCATTAAGGATTTATCTTTCTGCCATCTAGCAACTAATATTCTATGAATCTCCACAGGCATAAGACATGCTGATGAAGATTATATGGAATAGAAAAATTATGGTAGTCAACTAAAAATTTGTTCTGTGAAATTTAGCCCCAACCATTAATATTCTAACTAGCCAAGGTAGATGAGCCAATCATGTGACAAAATCCTAAATATCTCCTTCATTCAAGCAGTTATTCTTACTCTTTCTCTAAATAAAAGGCTCCCTCACATTAGGAAATTTAGCTGTAAAATATTTGACTCATAATTGCTGGGTTGGAAATAGATCTCCCAGGCAGGGCGTTGGGAATGAGGGAATTATATCTTCATTTTCTTTTTAGCTCTTCCACTGACCAGTGGGCATAAGGCACACCTGGTCCCTAGCTTTTCCTCCAGTTTTTTGCTCTGAAAAATTTAAAACCCATGGAATCCTGAAAGAATAAGAAAAGAACATTGAATGAATACTTGTATATCCTTCACTCCAATTGTTAACATTTTGCCATATTTGGTCTCTCTCTCTCTTTTTTTACTAAATCATTGACGATAAGTAGCAGACTTTTCCTATACCTTTGCCTTAAATATTTAGGCATGTATTTCTTAAAAAACAAGGATAATCCCCAGGAGAAACATTGTTATCATTATCATGTCACCCAAATTTATCATAATATGTAATACTGAAACCATATTTAAATCTCCAATTGTCCACAGAAATGTGCTTCATGGCTGGTTTTTCTCCTAATGTAGGATCCAGTCAAAGATCACGTGTTACATTTGGTTGTCATGTCTCTAGCCTCTTTTAATTTTTTTAACATCTTTAATCAAGAACAGTCCCCCTACCTTTTCTTTTGTTGTTGTTTTTTGAGATACGGACATTTTTAAAAATCGAGGCCAGGTATCTTTTAGAATGTCCTGCAGTCTAGATTTCTCTGATTATTTCCTCATGTTTGGATTCAGACTAAACATCTCTGGCAAGAAAGCTGCATAGACGATGTGTGTGCTTCCCCTTGTGTCATGTCAGAAGATACCTTGAACTTGTTCCATACTTGATTAGTACCTGATTTCCTTTTCCATTGAAGTACAACTAATAATCATATTTGTCATGCAGAAGGTTTGGGGAGACAAATAAACGTCTGGGATTCTTGAAAATATGCCATGCAAATCTCACTAAAAAAGAATTTGAAGTCCTTAGAGTGATGCCTTGAGGGAAGGCTGTTACATAACCGACTCAGGCGAATGAAAACATCTCTTGCTTTTAAAGATTTTCAGAGCAGTAATAGTGAGTCTGTCATTTATAGCAGAGTGGCTTATTTAGTTAAGTAACTTTTGCTTGCTAGGCCAAAGGAGACAGTTAATTCTCACTGTCACTCCTTGTCCCTTTCCCACCATCATGCTAGCATTGTAATCGGAGGAGATACGGGCTTGGTGGAAGGAATGGATTTTTACTAAGTATGTTTTTGTTACCTCTGGGATACTGAGGACATTTCTCTTTCTGCTGCATTGGATTAGTAGGCTATTTTTTTTCAAAACTATAAACTGCAAAATGATGGAAACTTTGTAATCATTTCTAGGAAAACCTGTACATGTCTTAGTCTTCTCTACAACTTTTTTTTCCCCAAGAGTTAAAACCTGTTAGCCGACAATAGAGTGGATTTGATGGTTCTTCTATGTATAGAAATTGATTATAGCTAGGTGCAACATTCTCTGCGTCTGAGATTTGGAAAGAGCTGAAAGGAGAGCTGGGTCTTGGAGCTCAGTAATGATTCCATGGCAACAGAACAAGTGCTTTCTTTCAACCTTGAGATAGTTGACTGGTCTATTGGGAGGGCAAACAGCCGGTGAGCTTACCGAACACGGTGTGTATTTCCACTTCTCAGACATTGATATCAGTCGAGCAAAGGTACAGGGGACATTAAGTGCGAGAAACCACAAAGTAAAATAGTGATAGTAACCTCATTTCCCGTAGCCTATCTACGAGCGTAAATGTGGTCATGTTAAACAGAGCCAGCTTTGCAGGTAGACAGGAAAAGAAAAGAAAGTGAACCACGAAGTACTAACCAGGAAACTGGGAGTTTTGCTCTGCAGTCACTGGCCTGCCTGCAACCCATTTATAACTAGCTAGTGACCTTAGGTTCTGGAAAATATGACCTTAGGCAAGTCACTTCTTTATCTGTAACAACTGTAGCAAAAGCTAATTGACAGTTAGGAAGTCAGGTATTAAACTACGTTCTTTATCAATACTATGTGGTTGGACTCTCAGAACTTCTCTCAGCTGTAGATACTGTTAACCCATTTTGCAAATGAGCTTTATAGAAAGTTTCAATCCCCTGCCCCAGGTCACACATCAAGTAAGCAGTAGTGCTGGGATTCCCACCCCCACCTTTGTTTGTGAACTGACGTGCCATGTATCTACATTTGCTATGTCCTTTCTTCATTCCCTACATCTAATTTGTCACCAAATTCTAAATGCATGTTGTAAGTGGCTTTTCGGTTGGCCCTCATCATCTCGCACTGGGCCCATGGCAGCCCTCTGTTTTCCAGGCATAGGACATTATGTACACAAATAATAATCACCGAAGCGATCTTAGCTTGGTCCCTGTGTCACTTCTACTGGCTTTATTCTAACATTTCACATATTCAGTATGTACTAGCCTTAATGAACTACCTATAACAGGCCATGTTCTTTCACTTCTTTAATCTTTTAAACAGGCTTTTCTTTGCCCCTGGAACAAACCTACACAAAGATCCTCAAGATTCTACCCCACTAGGCTCCTTTTCATCTCATGGTTTTCTACTTTTAAAATTCAAAAAGCAAATCAGCCACAAGGTGGCAGCATAATGCTAGAGAATTAACTACTCAACCCACCGCAGTGGTTGTTTTAAATTATAACTTAGCATTCATCTTACATTGTGGAATTACTGAGCAGCAAGGAGTAAACTTTGTAGTCCATTTGTAGTTTTTGTAGTGGTTTTCAGAAACAGCTTCTTGAGTCCTTAGGTGTTCCCAGGAACTCTATCCCCTATTTCAACCAGAAAAGCTCTTGAATTTTGTTTTATAGCCGGGGTTCCAATCTAGTCCTTGCATTTGACAAAATGAGAAGCTGAAGCCCAGAGAGGCAACTTGACCAAGGTTGTAAGACTAACTGTGGAGCCCAGCCTTATTTTTGGTTTCCCAGGGCTTCCATCAGAGACTCCAGGCATTGTGGTAGAAAGTCCGTAAGAGTTTGAAGTAAAGAGCATTCCTGGCCAGGTACCTTGGCTCATGCCTGAGGTCCCAGCGCTTGGGGAGACTGAGGTAGAAGAGCTCTTATAGCCCAGGAGTCTGAGGTTGCAGTGAGCTATGATGACACCACTACACTCCCACTTGGGTGACCCTGTCTGAAAAAACCGCCAAAAACCCAAAAAGCACATTCTTGCTTTTGTTTCTTTACAACCACTCTGTTGGTAATAAACTAATAATACAGAATATAATGTGTACATTTTATTATATACATTTTTCTGTATTATTATACAATATTTTACTGTGTGTATGCTTTAAATCCATCTAAAGTAATCTCTCTAAAGCTAAGGCTTACGTTTTATTTTTCATTATGTATCACCTAGCAGGAATTTCTGCATTTGGAACTCATCTTCATCAAACCCTGGGGGCTTGTCAAGTGCTGGGCACAGAGGCCCCTTAGCTTACATAAGGCTTTGTCCTTGCCCCTGGGAGAAGTCTAGCAGGAGTCTGGTAGGAGGGATAGCCATAGAACTGGATCATTTCTACTATCCTGTGGTCAGTAGAGAGAGCTGTGGGGCATAAAGGAAGACTGGAGTCTGAAACTGCCGGCTGATCCGCGGTATTAGAGCACTCTTCCGTCCTTCTTCATGTTAACAGAAAGTTCTCATTCCTATACTTGACAACACAAGTTGTCTGCTGGAAGCATATTTTGTGAGGTGAGGTAAAATGCTAACGTATTTTCTCCTTAAAATTGAAGAGAAAGGAAATTTCTAAAGGAAGCAATATGTGATATATTTTTCTTTTATTTGGGAATAAAGCTGCATTCAGTCACAAACTCCTCAATTTTCTTTGTTTGCCTGTGCTTCAGATTACTTTCTATGAAGACAAAAATTTTCAAGGCCGCCGCTATGACTGTGATTGCGACTGTGCAGACTTCCACACGTACCTAAGTCGCTGCAACTCCATCCGAGTGGAAGGGGGCACCTGGGCTGTGTACGAAAGGCCCAACTTTGCTGGGTACGTGTACATCTTACCTCAGGGCGAGTACCCTGAGTACCAGCGTTGGATGGGCCTCAATGACCGCCTCAGCTCCTGCAGAGCTGTTCATCTGGTAAGTCTGGGCCTTGCTCACATCCTTGCCCTTCTTCCCTTCCTCCCATTCCCTTTCCCTTTCTCACTTTCATGGGAAAGTTTTCTTGAAGTTTTCCTGCCCCTTATTGGCTGCCTGTGTTTTATTGGCTGGTGAGGCTTAAATAACATCTTAGATCAGGTCACAGGACTGAATACATTAATTATTTCTATGGTGCTGTCTCTGCCTCTTGAGTATTTCAAGGAGATAATTTTTTATCTCCTTGAAAAAAGGAAATAAAAGGCGCCTGTGGCTCAAAGGAGTAGGGCGCCGGCCCCATAGGCTGGAGGTGGCTGGTTCAAACCCAGCCCCAGCCAAAAACTGCCAAAAAAAAAAAAAAAATCAGTTGTTCAGGACTATTCACATGAGCCAGGATGAGAATCAACCTAAGTGTCCACCAGTAGATGAGTAAATAAAAACATATGGCATATATGCACAATAAATATATTTATTTATATAAATAAATTTTATATTTATAATCTAAAAATAATATAGCCATAAAAAAGAATGAAATCTGCATGGATGGAATCAGAGAACATCATATTAAATAAAATAAGCTAAGCATAGATAGACAAAGCTTGCATGTTCTCACTTGTATGTGAGAGCTGAATATTAAAACAATTGATCTTACGGAAACAGAGTAGAATGATGGTTACCAGAGGCTGGGAAAGGTAGTGGGGAGGAGGGATAAAGTGGAAATGATTAATGAGTGCCAAAATATAGTGTTAATTAGATAGAATGAACAAATATTTGATAGCACAATAGGGCTATAAACAACAGTAAGTTAAAGTATATTTTAAATAACTAAAAGAGGGGAATTTGAATGTTCTTAACGAAGAAATGATAAATGCTTGAGTTGATGGATAGATACCCCAATTACCCTGACTGAATGCACATTGTATGTGTATATCAAAACATCACATGAACCCTATAAACATATGTAATTATTATGTACTCATAATAATTAAAAATAAAAAGCTATTTCAGTCAATACACAGTAGAAATAGGAGTTTAGATCATCTAGCTTTCAAGGTAGTAAATTCAGAACCACATTGTTCTCTAAGTTCGTAACCTGCTGGTGATTTCCATAATGGTTGCTGTTCATTTCCTCCTGTGTTTTTCCAGCCTAGTGGAGGCCAGTATAAGATTCAGATCTTTGAGAAAGGGGATTTTAATGGTCAGATGTATGAAACCACTGAAGATTGCCCTTCCATCATGGAGCAGTTTCACATGCGAGAGGTCCACTCCTGTAAGGTGCTGGAGGGTGTCTGGATTTTCTACGAGCTACCCAACTTCCGCGGCAGGCAGTACCTCCTGGAGAAGAAGGAGTTTCGGAAGCCGGTCGATTGGGGTGCGGCTTCCCCAGCTGTCCAGTCTTTCCGCCGCCTTGTGGAGTAATGGTGTGAATGGGGCCGTTGGCGTCTTCTGGGGCCCAAATGCTGGCTGGCCTTTTGGTCCAAATAGGCATCATAAATAAAACAGTTGGCATGCATCCCACTGCTGACTACAACGCCTCTCCTTAAATGCTTTTAGGGACCAGCAAAGTAGCATCCGCCACAGTGGGCAGTTACACAGAGCAACCTATCCATCAGATTACCAGGTAGATCTTTGTGCCAAACAAAGCAAGATCGCATTAAAAGGTTAGAAAATCATACTGCCATGTGGTGGTCCTTTTTGCTTATGTTTTACATTATTAATTCAACAGGCACAGTAATAATTGCTGTCATTTAATGAGTGCCTACATTACTTTCTCTTAAACTGAGACATTGAAATTAAAAAATAACTTATCCAAATTTACCAGCTGGTGGATGGAGGAGGCAGGATTTGGTCCAGGATATTTCTGCTCCCGAAGCCATTGTTCTTGTCTCCTTATTTCCAGCCTAGTCATTCAACATGCATTGGCTGGAGTTCTGTGCATATAGTGTTATGTACAAGACCTTAAAGAATGTGTAAGGTGAAAAGGGCAAGGTCATTCTGAAGGTCTGATTGAGGAGAAAGAATACCTGTCAAGAATGATAGGTAAAACAGGTTATTATTTGAAAACAGTGGAGCCACAAGTCACCTGAAGTCCCTTGTTTAAGATCCGGAGGCTCCTGACACAGGAGTCTCTGGACAGAAGCAATGGAAAGATATAATGAGATGCAGAGAGCTCTGGACCTTGTCACTCCACTGTGTTGCCCTTTCCTTAATGAAACAGTTGTACCAAATGCTCTCTGGAGTCCCATTAAACACAGACATTCTACTTCCCTGGGGGCTAGTGGGAGGACACCAAAAGACTAGCAGATGACCAAAGACTATTGACACTTAGTTTTAGGGGTGCAGTTTCTGTAAGTAACATCAGAGATCCTGCCACTCATTTTCCACTTAAAAAACTCTGTTAACAGAGTTAGTATCAGGCTCTTCACATATCAACTGCTGCCATGTTCCTCTGTGGGTCTGTCACAGTCTGTTCAAAACAAGCAGTTCTGGCAGCAGCATAGGAAAACAAGAAGTGTCAGGATGACTAACCACAGTTTCAGGGAAGCAGAAGATGGCTTTGGACAGATAAAAGCAGAATTATCATTTTAGGGTGTTATATGCCTCTTAGTTCATGCCCTAATCCAGAAAGACATGGCCAGCATTCTCCCCAGTGGCTGACATACAAATCAACTTTCGCTTAAAAGGAATTTTACTAGCAAATGATATTAGAGGTCAAAACTACTTTATGTCCTCATCTATCAATCTAAACTTTCGGTAGACCATTCTGTGGTTAGAACAAGAAGCTAGTGTCCCACCTGTCAACCACACCCAGAACACCACCTGACAATTTAGAGTCCTCTCTCTCTACTTTTTATTGTTTTGTTCCTTTGAAATAGGGGATCTCAAGAAAACAAGGCAAGAGCCTTAAACCATTTTATCCGTTTCCATCAAGCATCCTCTGAGACAAGTGTCTGAATAGTTTCCAAATGTGGGGCCCACTATCTACAAATACAACTTCAGGGCTTTCATTTGAAACCTCCCAGGAAGGGTTGCCATATTAAATATGGGACAGCTTTAGTAAATGCCAAGTATTGGAATATAAACACAAATATGGTAGAAGTATATCCCAGCTATTGCATCAGACATACTTATACCAAGAAATCGTCACTTGTCTGATACTAGAATGTAACTGTATCTTGCATTTTTATTTGCTAAACCTGGCAACCCTATTTCAAGAACAAAGCAAGTTACACAGGAATGACATGGAGCTAAGAGCACAGGGGGTGGTACAAGCTGTGGAAATGAGGGCACAGGCCCCACAGAAAGCATTTAAATACTTTTTTTAAAAAATGCCATGAGCCAACAAAAGATGCTTGCATCTGGATGTGGCCTGTGGACTGCCAGTTTTCAATCTTGTAGGACAGCTTGGCTTGCAGGACAAGAATATTATAAACTGCCATATACATTGAGCCAAAATCTGTCCCCTGAAATTTTCTTTTAAAAAAAAAAAAATGTTTATTTTTATTTTCACCAAACCCGGAAGCCTAGACCACGAGCCTCAAGTCCCCTACAATTTTCAGCCCTCAAGTCCTCATTCTGTTTTCCATCTAGTTCTCCATCCACTTGGAGATGGCTTTTCTGAGGTTCAGAGATCACGCTGCTGGCTCCGCGCTGGCGTTTCCACACTGGCGGCTCCTGTTTTCTCCTTCGTTTCTCTCTTGCTGTGTTGCTCCCAAGTCTTCACCACGCTTGCTGACTGCAGCTTGTTCCTTCCCCGCCGTCTCACTTAGAGCCTGATTTGGACGGTTACGTTCAGTCCTTTCATCTCCCTTTCTCCAATGTGTACTGTTCTCGACTAAGCCCAGCTTTCCTGTGTTCTCCGGCCATCCCTGATAGGGACAACTGGCCACTTTTTCCTAGAGAGTTTCCTTCCTCTCTGGGGAATTAGACAGAAATGGATTCAAATCCTACCAGTCTCAGATGTCAGCTCCACCTCACATAATCCAACAGGTATAACCTCAATTTCCTAAGATAACACAACTCTGTGGACATTAAAATTAAATAACGTATGAAAAAAATACATGGTGGATACAGTTAATTCTCATTATTTTCTGTAGTTACATTCTATAAGGACATCACAGTTAAAAAGCAATTTTTTTTTTTTTTTGAGACAGAGCCTCAAGCTGTCACCCTGAGTAGAGTGCCATGGCATCAAAGCTCACAGTGACCTCCAACTCTTGGGCTCAAGCGATCCTCTCACCTCAGTTTTTCTATTTTTTTTTTTTTTTTGCAGTTTTTGGCCAGGGCTGGGTTTGAACCCACCATCTCCACCATATGGGGCCAGCGCCCTACTCCTTTGAGCCGCAGGCGCCCCCCCAGTTTTTCTATTTTTAGTAGATATGAGGGTCTTGCTTTTGCTCAGGCTGGTCTCAAACCTGTGAGCTCAAGCAATCCACCTGCCTCAGCCTTCCAGAGTGCTAGGATTGCAGGTGCGAACCACCACGCCTGGCCAAAAGGCAAACATTAAATTATAACTCCGACAGAAACTATTGAGTTAAGTTCCTGTGAGTCTCTGGTCATAACAAAAGTCTACTGATTAATACACAACCTTTTTTTCATGTATATTTCTGTTTAAAAACATTTTAATATATACTGTTGGTTCATTAACATGCAACTCATGGCCAACAGCACTGCAGCTCCTTCCTAAAGCTCATCTAACATGTATTTTCTCTGTAAGGCACATCACAGCCTTCTTATGCTTAGGAACACGAGGCATTCCGAAAGCACCACATTTGGGGGCTGTTTTTAACAGTGACAGTACCTACAACGAGCAAAGCAATGCAGAAAACATGGCCCTAAATCAGTGGTTCTCAACCTTCCTGATGCTGTTCCTCGTATTGTGGTATTAACCCTTTAATACTGTTCCTCGTATTGTGGTGCCCCCCAACCATAAAATTATTTTTTTTGCTGTAGCCCTAAATAAACTGTGAGAAAGATACTTGTTGACAGCATGAGAGCAGAAACAAGAAAGCAAAGCACTTGTTCAACCTCAGCTGGGAACATACTCAGAACTGCTCTGCTGATATCCATGAATAACTGTCAAAGTACCATGGGTAACGATTTGGGGACTACAAATGAATTTTAGTGAGTGGATGAATTTAAAAATATGGAGGCTCTGAGATAGTGTGGATCAACTTTACTTCACCACCACGGTTACTACATTAGGACCATTTCCTACTAAGTACTTCTATTACCAAATTGAGTCTTTTGGTTTTATTTTCCATTTGCCTGGTTTTTTTATACCTCTTTCTGTCCCCCAGCTGTTTTCAGAAAAGCATCTCTGCGTTTTTGGCAGATGTGTCATAGTTGGGAAGAAATACATCACAATGATCCAAGCCACCCTATACCTTGAAAAAGAGCTGTAGTATTATTATCTTAAGAGCCTGGCTTTCTCTTAGTCTCCTCATAAGTCTCTCGCTGGCTCTAGCTCGCAGCAGTTTCCAAAGCCCCAGGCTCTAGGGTTGTCCCTAGAGTTCACACAACTCCCCCTTGTTTCCTAATTTCTACCTGGTTCCTCTTTTCTGGGGTCTCTCAGGGAACAGAGGGCAGCTCCAAGCTCTCCTTCTAGCTTTTTGGCTGACCAGCTTCTGACACACACAGGAAAGATCCTTTGCGGATGGGACTTTAGTGCAAGAGAAACCTCTCTGTCACAGACACCTCCCACCTTTACTTCTTTACTCAAGGTCAAACTTCCAAGTCAGGCAGTTTTATAAACAGAGTTGGCTGTGGGATTGCCCATACACTGCAATAACTTAGGGAGATGGGGGCTTATTAGCCTCAGCAACTGGGGCTCAAAGAGGCCGACCAACTTGTCCAAGCTCTCGCTTTGTCATCTGTACCACGCAGCTTCTGCTTCTCTGCCTTTGAGGGACAGAACCACAGTAACTTGTTAATCATAGCATGAGACGTTTTCTTTTCAATATACATGTATTTTTTTGAGATAGAGTCTCACTATGTCACCCTCAGTAAAGTGCTGTAGCGTCACAGCTCACAGCAACCTCCAACTCTTGGGCTTAAGCATTCTCTTTCCTCAGCTGGGACCAAGTAGGTTCCCTCCAGTAGCTGGGACCACAGATGCCAGCCACAATGCCTGGCTATTTTAGTTGTTGGAGTTGTCATTGTTGTTTAGCTGGCCTGGGCTGGGTTCGAACCCGCCACCCTCGGTGCATGTGGCCAGCACTGTAACCACTGTGCTATGGGCGCTGAACCAATATTTCTCAATATTAATAGCCTTATTGGGATAAAATGTATGTGTCACATGACCCACTTTTTTGGCCTATACAGTTCAGTGGTTTTGGCAAATATATTCACAGTTATGTGCAACCACACCACAGGTGATTTTAGAACATTTTCATCACCTGACAAAGAAACCCAGCATCCTGTAGGCCAGCATCCTGTACTGCTTTATCAGTGTCTTGATCCCCTCAGTCCTGAGCAACCTCTAACCTACTTTCCGTGTCTATGTATTTTCCTATTCT